GGCTCGGAGGAAGGGAACCATCCTATGCTTCTCTCCCAGCTTCTGGTGGGTGCCGGCAATCCTTGGCTTGTGGACACATCACTCCAATCTCTGTCTCCATCTTCACATTGCCTTCTCTGTGTGTCCTTTTCTGTCTCTTTCAAGGACACTCTCATTGGATTTAGGGCCCACCCTAATCCAGTATGATCTCACTTTGATCCTTACCTTAATTACACCTGCAAAGACCCTATTTCCAAATGAGGTTGTATTCTTTTTTTTTTTTAATTTGTTTTATTTTTATTATTTTTGGCTGCATTGGGTCTTTGTTGCCGCACGCGGGCTATCTCTAGCTGTGGCGAGCGGGGGCTACTCTTCATTGCGGTGCGTGGGCTTCTCACTGCTGTGGCTCCTCTTGTTACGGAGCACGGGCTCTAGGCATGCGGGCTTCAGTAGTTGTGGCAATGTGGACTCAGTTGTTGTGGCTCGTGGGCTCTGGAGCACAGGCTCAGTAGTTGTGACACACGGGATTAGTTGCTCCACGGCATGTGGGATATTCCCAGGCCAGGGCTCAACCCCGTGTCCCCTGCACTGGCAGGCAGATTCTCAAGCACTGCGCCACCAGAGAAGCCCGAGGTCGTATTCTGAGGTTCCAAGGGGACATGAATATTTAGGGGACACTATTCAACCTTCTATACCCAGTTAAATTTGAATTTCAGATAAGCTATGAATAGTATTTTTTTTAAGTATAATTATGTCCATGTAATACAATCCTTATATATTGCATAGGACATACTTAAACTAAAAAATTATTTGTTGTGATCTGAAAATCCAATTTAACTTGATGTCCTGCATTTTATTTCTTTTTGGCTAAATCTGGTAATCCTAATTAAGAAGAAAAAGAAATCAGAGGTATTTTTGCAATTTTAGGTAGGGTAGTCAGGGAAGGCCTCAGTGAGGGGGTGAGATTTGAGCAGCAACCTAAAGGAGGCCAGAGTGAGCCATATGGAGATCTGTGGGAATAGTAAGTGCAAAGGCCCTGTGGCAGGGGTGTGCATGGTGTGTAAGGAGGAACAGCAAGGTGGCTGGTGGGGCTAGAGTTGAGTGCCCAAGGGGGACAGGGCTGAAGATGAAGTCAAAGAGGGGACCCGGGGCCAGATCCTGCAGGGCTTTGTGGGACACAGTGAGGACTTTGCTTTGACTCTAGGTGAGGTGGAAGCCAGGGGAGGGTTCTGTGCAGAGAATAGGCGTGAGCAGATTTAGATGACAACAGGCGCCCTCTGGTGGCCATACCGGGAACAGACGGGGGGTGAGGATGGGAGATGGGAGCTGGGAGCTGGGAGTCCTGCACTGAGGCCACCACAGCAGTCCAGGGGGTGAGAAGTGCTCAGATTCTGGATCTATCAATATTCTGAATGTGGTGCCATCAGGATTTGCTGATGGGCTGGAGAAAGAGAGGAGTCCAGGATGACCCAAGGCTTTGGGCCTGAGCACCTGGAAGGATGGGCTTGGCCTCTTCTGAGATGGAGAAGATGGGGGGCACCGTGGGGTGGAGTGGGGGAGGGAATTGGGGAGGAGTTTCAGGACCCCAGTGTGGGACATAGAGGGCCTGAGAGCGGGGTGGTGGGGACGGTCATGAGTCAGACACTCTCCCCCCTGTGCAGGGATGAATTCAGACTGTGAAGGCGAGGGTCTGTGTGAGTGGATGTCCACACTGACCTTGATGTCTGTACCAGGGTCTATGTGCAAATTAGAAGAAAGCACCCCTTACCCTAGCCTGGGGCTGTCTGATATGATAGTCACTATCTACACGTGGCTGTGTAAATTCGAAATAATTAAAATTAAATAACAATTTAAAATCCCATTCCTCAATTACATCCACCACGTTTCAAGTGCCCAGTGGCCATCTTTGGCCAGCTGCAACCTATTGGATAGTGCACATGGAGATGTTTCCATCATTGCAGGAAGTTCTATTGGATGGTGCTGTTCTATACCCTTTATTTCCTTATGAAAAGATGATAAATGTCTAGGTCTGCAGCATCTACAATGGTACAATTTTGGGAGGGGACATCTCGAATGGTTATTTTGTTGGAAGATAGGGATTAGAGGATGTTATTTTGTGGGCTTGATGTTGGATTTGAGGCAACTGTGACATCCCTAAAGAAATGTCAAGTGGAGAGTTTGTATTAGTTCCTATAAAGGCTTAGCTGCTATAACAAGCAGACCCCATAAGGCAATAGTTTAAAGGAGGTGGAGGATTCTTTCTCTCCCACTTAACAGCCTTGTGGTAAGTGGGCCAAGGTGGATAGGCAGCTCTGTTCCACATGAGATGATGCCGGGATCCAAGTTCCTTCCATCTTGTTGTTCTGCCATCCCCTTAGGGCACAGTCTTCATCTCTGTGGGCTCAGAACTGGGTTGTAGGCAGAAGAGCATTCTAAGCTGGTAGAACAAGGAAAGAGTGGAAAGTGCAGGGGGGGCAAGAAGTGAGGGAGAAGGTGTACCTGTCACTTCTGCTCACATTCTATTGATGAATTCTCCTAGCCACACCTAGCCTCTCAGAGGAAGATGGGAAATGTAGTCTATCTGGGCAGCCCCATGGCCACCTTCACCTCTATTACTGTGGCAGAAGGGGAGGACAGAGCTCATGCACTGGAAATGGGTATTAGGTCTGGAACTTGGAGGAGAGGTCCGAAATGGAGATGTGGGTTAGATAGTTATCTGCGCAGAGGTGGTGTTTAAGGGCAAGGGGATGGCGAGACGACTTAGAGTGAGCTTGAGGGAAGAGAAGGGAAGAGGGCCTAGAATCAAGCCATGGGGTACCCCATCATTTAAAGGATGGGGCCAGGAACATCCTTATGTGTACCCACAATCCCTCATGCAGTGACCTAGCTCATTTTTCTTCTCTCTGACTCTCTCCTCAGGCCTTGTATGACCCCATCAACCCTGACAGGGAGACCCTTGAGCAGCCTTCACTTACAGACCCCCAGCGTCTGTCCAATGAACAGGAGGTGCTTCGGGCTCTGGAGCCCCTGCTGGCCCAGGCCAACTTCTCCCCACTCTCAGAGGACACCCTGGCCTATGCTCTGGTGGTCCATCACCCTCAGGATGTGGTCCAGGTGCTTGTCTTCCAGAGGAGAACCAAAACTCCCAGGATGCCTTGGGGTAGGGGTGGAGCCTTTGGGAAGCAGAGGCTGCTGGGAGTTGTAGTCCTGAACACAGGGCACCAGCTCTTGTGGCACCTTTGGTGAATTAGAAAAAGGTGCCTCTTTCTCAGGTCACTTCACTGCCATCTGTTGGAAAAGTATCATAAGATACAGGTCTTCTTAGGACTAGAGACTTTATCACCATTTGCCAGAAAACAAATACAGCTGTCCTTTGGTGGGGGGGATTGGTTCCAGGACCCCTGTGGATATAAAAATCCCCGGATGCTCAAGCCTCTTATGTAAAATGGCATAGTATTTGCATATATATATGCACGTCCTCCTGCATACTTTGTCATCTCTGATTACTTATAATACCTAATAGAGTGTAAATGCTATGTAAAGTAGTTGGTGGTACACAGAAAATTCCAGTTTTGCTTTCTGGAACTTTCTGGAATTAAAAAATTTTTTTCTCCATGCCGTAGTTGGTTGAATCAATGATGTGAAACTCACGGATATGGAGGGCTGACTATAATAAATAATATCAGTACAAAATACCATTAAAGTCAACAAAATTAGGGAATTCCCTGGCAGTCCAGTGGTTAGGAGTCAGCGCTTTCACTGCTGGGGTGCAGGTTCCACCCCTGGTCAGGAAACTAAGAAGATGCCATAAGCCATGGGGTGCGGCCAAAAGAAAAAAGAAAGTCAACAAAATTATAATAAAAATACTGAAATCTTCCAGATTTCCACATTTTAGTGATTTTTAAGATGTGCTTTTTTTCTGAAGTCATACTTTACTGTCTCTGAAATTGGGATGTGACTTACAAGGGGTAGTGTGAAATAGTTTAATTGGCAATATATTTTCCCTTTTAGTTGCTTCATAAAATAATAAATTATAGAGTATCTTAAAATCAGTGGCATCTTAGATTCTAGGAAATACGGTAATAAAGATGACTGTGATGTGAATGGCACCATCTTGGGTGGTGTGCCCTTGTGCAGTATACAACATGAACAACCATACATGGCTGTTCTGCCTACACACTGGGTGATGATAAGCCTGGGAAGTGGGGCAGGGGATCATCGGGGGCAGGGGTATCTAATTCGAGTATTCCGCACTCACACCCTAGCTTATGCTCAGCTGCCCCTGTTTCCTTCTTCCCCCTTGGCAGGTGACGATAAATTTGGACCAGTATATCTACATGCAGTTCTGGGCCCTGGGCCAGCGAGTCGGGCAGATGCCCCGTAAGTCCAGCGTGGGCTTCAAGCATGGCTTCTTCAAGTCGCCCCCTGCAGAGAGGTGAGGCGGCCCTTGGTTCCCCAGCTACAGCAAGAGGGAGCAAGGTTAGAGTCGAGAGGGGACTGACAGGTCAGTGTCTGGGTTTGGGTGTCTGGGAGCCGGGTGGGAAGCCAAGAAAGGGGGAGAGGTGAATCAAATACTGCCTTTTCTTTCTAAGGAGAAGTAAGAACTACAATTCCCAGGGGAAGAGAAAGGGTAAGGACATTTTTCTCCATTTTCCAAATGAGGAAAACTGAGGCTCAGAGAGGGAAGACCAAATTCTGAAAAAGTGGTACCGCCAGGATTCTAATGAACATTATATTTTTAATAGATATTCAAATACAGAGTAGGGTCAGGAGAGCCAGACCTTCTCACAGTCAGCCAATGGACCTGTCAATCACCCAATCCTTCTGGAAATCAGTGTATCAAATACGGTTACGAATCCAAAAACAAAACACAACAGAAACCAAAGACAAGGGCTTCCCTGATGGCGCAGTGGTTGAGAGTCCGCCTGCCGATGCAGAGGACACGGGTTCGTGCCCCAGTCCGGGAAGATCCCACATGCCGCGGAGCGGCTGGGCCCGTGAGCCATGGCCGCTGAGCCTGCGCGTCCGGAGCCTGTGCTCTGCAATGGGAGAGGCCGCAACAGTGAGAGGCCTGCGTACCGCAAAAAAAAAAACAAAAACAAAGATAAAACGTCTCTTATATCCCTTAAACCAGTAATTCCACTTCCAGGAATCTATTCCAAGGACATACTTACACGCGCAGACTCTGTGTTTAATTATCTGTCTCTCATGCTGGACCATAAGCTCAACAAAGGCAGCTCCACAAATTCAGTGTTGTCTCTCCAGAGCTAAATAGCACTCCCTGGCACCTAGCAGATACTCTGAAATATATATAGAATTTGAATTTGAAAATTAACTAAAGTAATAAACTATAATGGAAAATTAAAAAAAAAGAATAGAGGTATATACATATATACCTGTGCAACTAAATCACTTCGCTGTACACAGGAAACTAACACAATATTGTAAATCAACTATACTTCAATTAACAAATAATAAAAAAGATAATTAACTAAAGAATCTTAGCTCTCATTTTTCAAGTTCTTAAAATCAGAAGCAACCTATGTGTCCAATAATAAGGGTTTGTATCATGTCACTGATCCCTTATTGTTGGACACTTATGTCTGACTTTCCTCCCACCATTGTTAATTAGCTTTTAAAATGATGATGTGACTACAGAGCCAGAGAGAGTGTCCTAGGGTTGGAGTGGGGCTCCCTGGGGTGGTCCTGACCATCGTTGCCCCTCCATCTCCGGCCATCAGGAGATACTTTAAGCGGGTGGTGCTAGCAGCCCGAACGAAGCGGGGGCACTTGGTGCTGAAGAGCTTCAAGGACATGCCGTTGGAGGGCCTGGAGCAGCTGCTGCCCGAGCTGAAGGTGCGCACGCCCACCCTACAGCGGGCCCTGCTCAATTTCACGTTGGTCGTCTCGGGTGTGGTGTTCTTCGTCAATGTGGGCATGGTGGTGCTCTCCGACCTCAAGATGGCCACCTCCCTGCTGCTGCTACTCTTCACTGCCTTCATGGGCCTGCGGGCCTCCAAGGTAAGCGGCCCACCCCACCAAGCCTGCTCCTTGGTGTTCAGCCAGGTCAGGCCACCCTATCGTTTTGTTTCTCTTTTTGTGGATTATTCCTGCTTCGTGCTGTGCTTCCTTTCCTTTCCTTATTTACTCAACACAACCTTGGGCAGGTTTCTTGATCTCTCTGTGCCTCGATTTCCTCATCTGGGAAATGGGTGTAATAGCAAGACCTGCCTCGTAGGGCTGTTGTGAGGAGGAAATGAGTGAATCTGTGAGGAACACTGGATACAGGGCTGGCATGTGGCTAGTGGGATACAAGTGTTCACAGCCACTCACTGCATGCTTAGTGACGTGGGAAGGGTGTGTGTTTTAGAACCAGACTGCCTGGGTTTGAATCTAGTTCTACCGTGTTCTAGCTGTGTGACCTTCTTTTTTTAGCTTTTTTTTTTTGGTGGCCACACCGTGTAGCATGTGGGATCTTAGTTCCCCGACCAGGGATCGAACCCATTCCCCTGTAGTGGAAGCGTGGAGTCCTAACCACTGAACCTCCAGGGAAGTCCCTAGCTGTGTGACCTTGAACAAGCTGCTTAACTTCTCTGTGCCTCTTTAAAGTGGAGATGACAGTGGGGGTTGTTGTGAGGAGTAAATGAATTGATACGCATACAGTGCGGAAAACAGAGCCTGGCACATAGCACAGAAGGTATTATATGAGAGTTCACCATTACCATTATTACTGTTATTACTGACTGTGCTCTTGCCTCCTGAGTCTGGGCTTCCCCATCCTGGCCAGGTGTCACTATCACCAGGGGAGCTATTTTATAAACGCAGCCTCCTGTGTTCTAGTCCATATGGACTGAATTGGAAACTCTGGGAACAAGGCCTGTATTATTAACAAGCTCCCTTCCTGATTCCGCTACATGTGAGCGCAGGGCCGCCTCATCCAGTTGTGCAGGTTGTCCACCATCCAAGGATGCGTGGCCGAAGGGACAGTTGGGGGCTGGAATCCAACTTGTGCTTTGCTTGCTGAGCTGCGAGCTCTGTCTCGAGGCTGAGGTGGCCTCAAGGGGCTGCCTTTTACTGATTCTCCCCAGGGGTGGCATTGGCCCCAGGAATGTGGACTGGCGTGAAGTTGCTGTTGTGCCCGCTCACTCACTTGCTGGTTCATTGGTTTTCAAGCTGTTTTCAGCCATCCCAATGGGCTCGTAGGAAGCCTGGTTAATAAATCCCACAGATAATAACCAGCCTGCGCTGGCTGAGAGGGTTGCAGGGGTAGGGGGGAGCACTTCCTACCTAGAACCAAGGGTCAGGGGGGATCGGAGGGAAGCTCTGAAAGGCGGGGATTGAGCCTTTCAGGGGGCTGGGTGAGCACAGCTTGGGGGGGATCTCACAGTGATGGAGTCTGGGGTGCAGCGTGGTGAAGCGAGGCCCCAGAGGGAGTGGCGAGGGCCTTGAATGCCAAGGCAGTGGCCCTGGACTTCATCCTCAGGGCAGGGGGCTATGGAAGGGCTGTAAGCATAGAGGGCGTGTGGCAACCACGGACAACAGAGGGGAGGGTGCCGAGCTGCTCTGGGGAGGACATACACAGTTCTAGCCCAGGGAGGACCATCCATGCTACCTCTCAGTGGCCCGTGGGGACGGAGGGTCCTGAGCCTCTTGGGCTCTGAAGCACCCAGTTTAAAACCCAGTTCACTAGTTAATTTACTGCATCCCTAAGACATTTTCCCATGCCCCAGGCTGAGCCCCCATGCCTTAACTTTATCATTTATTTATTTATTAATTTGGCTTGTGGGATCTCAGTTCCTCAACCAGGGATTCAGCCCGGGCCATGGCGCCGAAAGCACCAAATCCCAGCCACTAGCCCACCAGGGAACTCCCTCCATGCCTTAAATGTGGGTCTCCCTGGCCTCTGTCCAGCTGCCCGCACAGCATCCATCTTCCCCTAAACCCCCTTGTCCTCCCGAGTTCCCCGTCTTGGAACAGATGCTCAGATCAAACACCTGGGAGGCTGATTTTGCCGCAGGATACACGTCCCTCTTTCTCCTTCCACCCCTCCACCCACGAGAGATCTCGTCCACTTCCGTGGTTTCCACAAGCAGCTCCCCATCATCTCCTAGATCGGGGTGCTCTGTGCTCAGCCTGAAGCAGCCAAGTTGGCCAGGTGGAGGGCAGCATCTCTCCCACACCTGCTCTTCCTCCTGGTTCTCCATCTGTGGTTGACCCCCTTGTCCCCCAGTCACTGGTTAGACCCCTGGAAGTCGCCCTGGCCCTGCCCCCCAACCCGTCAGTCTTCAGCCCATCCTTCCTGCCCCCCCTCCCCAAGTCTCTGTGCCCATCTCCTCTCCTCTATCCTGGCTCCAGCTCAGACCCTCTTCCTAGCCCCCCCCGTTGGTCCCCTCCAGCCCATCCCCATTGGCCCCGGGGCTGGCCCTGCTTCTCCCTTGCTCACAACTTGGCATCGGAGACCTTGCTTCCCCAGCCTCATCTGACACAATCTAAGCTTCAGCTCTACCAAAATATACTTGTAGCTCCTCCCCCCGCTTCTCTTTTCTTCTCTCCCTTTGCATATGCTGTTCCTGGTGGGGAAGGGGGGCAGCCAATAGACAGCTGGGCCCCAGACCTGGCGCTCCCTCCCTTCTTCTCTGAAAACGGCTCATCAAGTATTTGTTGTCTGTTAACACTTCTCTTTGACAATTTAACATTTAAAACCTTTTTTTTTAATTATGGAGAAGTGCAAACAGATGCAGAAATAGAATAGTATAATAAGCTTCCTTGTAGCCAGCACCAGCGTCAACAGTTAGCAACAGTCAATCAGGTTTCACCTAAAGACCGCCTCCCCGACCACTGGATTATTTTGAAGCAGATCCTACACGCGTCATCTGGGAACACTTCAGTATGTGTCTAGACGATAAGGATTAAAAAAAAAAAAAATCATTGTAACAAAAAGTGCCGACACTAAAACTCCTATGGTCTGGAAATCCTCGAACACATTCATTAATACGTGGCTCAAATGAGCAAACCAGGGGCGAGAGCATGTGGGTTAAACATCCAAATACCCAGGCCCCAGTCCTGGGGACCTGAACCGAAGACGTCTGGGGAGGTCCCTGGAGCCCTCGGGAAGGACTGTACCAGCGTAAGTGACCCAGGGGTGTGTATATGGGTGAGGGTGCGTGCTGGGTGGGTTTGGGGGGGGAGTGTGGAGCCCCAGCAAGGCCCTGACCCTCCCGGATCTCGTCTGACCTGCAGATGTTCGGACAGCGGCGCAACGTGCAGGCGCTGGAGCTGGCGCACATGCTCTACTACCGCAGCACGTCCAACAACTCGGAGCTGCTCAGCGCCCTGGCCCTGCGCGCGCAGGACGAGCACACCAAGGAGGCGCTGCTGGCGCATAGCTTCCTGGCCCGGCGGCCCCGGGGGGCGCGGGGCCAGCCGGAAGAAGGTAGGACTGCGAGTGCCAGGTAGCCCCACACTGCCCCGCCCCCTTTCAGCCCCGCCCCCGCGAGGCCCCGCCCCATCCCAACGCTGCCTGGCTCAGACGTGGCCCCACCTGGAAGAAACTCCACCCTGCCCCTACCGGGTTGAGACTACCGTTAGTCCCAAGTGGCCCTGCCCCAGAGAGACACCATCCCCACGATGCCCACCTCCCAGTCCCGGCTTGCGCTGGTGAACCCGATTCAGCACTCGGGACCCCTGACCCAGCTTCTGCTCTTCCCTGGGGTGACCTCCCTCTCCTAACCTCAACCTCGATAGGAGTCTTGGATCAGGCTCCCGTTGTGGCATGCTCCCCACTCCCCGCCCGCTTCTTCCTATACGTGAACCCAAACACTTCCTACAAGACACCCTTATCCGTTACCTGTGTAAGCGCCCTGAGCAAGAGTCCCTGGCTTGTCCCCAGATGAGAGCCCCAAAGCTGAGCCTCCTAGGCTTTGTCCCACTCCCCTAGGCTTCTCCCAAACCCAGACCCCTCCTATTCGTTGTGCTGCGCCCTCCCTGCTGCCCCCTCTCAGTCCTTCCAGGTCTGTCTGACCTCCTCACAACACCTGCCTCCCTCTGCAGAGACCTCCCAGTGGCTCCAGTCGGAGGTGGAGAACTGGCTTCTAGCCCAGTCAGGCTGTGACGTGGCCTTCAACGGAACTCGGGCCCTGGCCCACCTGCAAGCCCTGACCCCCAGCATCGGGATGTACCCGCCCCCGGGTTTCCCCAAACTAGACCCGTTGGCTACTATCACTTCCCCCAAGGCCGCACCACCCAGCACTGATGACCCCTTATCGAAACCTCTCTGTCCCGCCCCGCCCAGCCAGCTGGTTGGGAACTAAGCTCCGCCTCCTCGACAAGCCGTCAATCATGGCTACGATGCTTCACCACTCCACAACTTCCAGTTACTCATTACTACTTAACGTTACTCTGTTTTCTTAAACAAAGTCGCCCATCAAGGCAGCCTGCTGTTGCTAGGCCCCCTCTTCGGATGAACAGCCAATCAAAGCTTTTAGGCTCTGCTTCTGTTCCATCTTGGTCCCCCGCCCCACAAACATTTAAACGTGGTGCCAGCCAATCACAGCTGTGCAATGCTACAAACCACCAGGCACAGCTGTTAAACTGTGCCCTCCCGAGGCTATATATCACTGTCTTTTTAGCCTGTACCGGGCAAACTGCCCATCGTGTTCACCGAGGCGGAGCTCCAGCCCACGTCCAATGAGAGCCTTTTAGCCCGGTTCTCTGGCAAACCGCCAATGACAGCTGTTGGGCACAACCAACCTAGGGCAGCCAGTTGTCCCTGCATGGAAGCAACCAATCAGAATTTTTAGAGGAGACCTGATCTTTCTATCAATTGCAGCTACTTATAAGGCAGGCCATTTGGTCAACTGTCGATCAGCTTGTCCAGGCTGAAGGGGTTGGGAGCCTTGTGCCAGGCAGAAAGCTGGGCCAGGAGGAACCAGAAACTATCCTCACCCCAAGGCTCACGTCCACTCAGGCCCCAACAACAAAACTCAGGCGCCTTCCCTGCCCAGGTCCCTCAGCCTTTCTACAGAAACTACCTCAGCCTGGATCTTGCCTCCACCAGTGGCCTGTGCAATATTTATTGGCCTATCAATTTCTCCCTTGTCCCCTCTCGCAAAGGAATAAATCATGTTTCATAAATCTGGATGAGTGGGGTAGCCGCAGGGGTTGGAGGGAAGGAAGGCATTGGAATCCTGGAAAGAAGAGACTCTGGGTCTTGGGGGAATGCATTTTGGGTGGGTCCCGGGCAAAGAAAGCTGTAGTCCTAGAGAGAGACTGGGCTTGGAGTTGGTGAAAGAGACTGGCTGTGGGTCACAGAAGAGGATCTTAGGGAGGACCTGACTCCTGAGCAGAGCCCTGGTTCCCCAAAAGACTGAGTCTTCTGAACACAGAAGATAGGACAGATCGTTCACTGCACAAAGACACACAGCCAGGAGATGGGTTGGTGTAAAAGCCAGCCTCTCCCCGTCCCACATGTGTCTTGATGTGGGGTTGAGTAAGCCTGGAGAAGGGGGGGTGTCATCTAATTTTTACTAAGGTGTCATATGGATTAGAGGCGGCATTTGGAGAGGGTGGGGGAAGAAGAGGGGTTGGGTTCCAAGAGGGAAATGGAAAAGAGTCTTCTCAGAGGAAGGGTCAGAGGGAGAAAAAAAAGAGACTCAACTGTTCCCAACCAGGGTTCTTGGCCTCCTTAATCAATAGAAATTGATCAGAGGCCAGATAAGAAATTCAGGCAAGGCTTTATTGGGGTTCCTGCTGCAGCAGGGGGGAGAGAGAACAAACAACAGTTTCCCTTGAAGTGGGGTGAGCTGGTCCCTTCTATGGGGTGAGGGTAGGGGTGTGTCCAGGGTTTGGGCCAGAGGAGTGGCTTAGGTGGCTTGCCCACCTCTTCGGTGGTGTGTGCAGTGGGCACGCGCAGTACCCTGCTTTTGCTCCTGGTTCTTCAGAAGTGGCAGTTGGGCTTTTTGGTCTCTTCGTATCTTGTTGTCCAGAATTTGCCCCATGTGCACATGCACGCAGTTAGTCCCTTATAGTTTCTTTGTATTTTGTAGCTGGAGGAAATATTTGTCCAGGTGCAAGCAAGGTAGCAAAGGGTCCCAGGTCCCAGCCTGTCTAACAGCAATCTAGAACAAGACACACAGCCTCGCTGGTTGAGAGAGACCCTTGGCCAAGGAGAGAGGACTGGAAACACAGATTCCTGGTTCTTACCTAGAAGTGCCTGAAGGTCTAGTCTTGGGAGGAATCCTGAGTTTTGAGACCGGAGGGCCCGGGGGCCTCGGGTCTGTGGAAGGGGAAGAAGGGCTGCTGGGACCGCGGGCTCCTGTATCCCAAGTTAGAGAGAGATGGGGGCCTGGAGCTAGACGTTCTGAAGACCAAGCTGCTGCTGATGGGGGCTGTCCCCATTCAGGAAAGATCAGGCACGAGCAGCCTGGGACCCAGAAGAAGGAAGGAAGGAAGGAGGCAAAGGTAGAACGAGCGGTTAAATGGTTTTATTTTCTGGACGCGGGGTGGGGGCTTCGGGGTGAGGTGGAGGGGCGGGGAGCCGGCTGGGGAGACGAGGGGACGCGCGGCCCTCACTCCCGCTTCCGCAAGTGGATGTAGATGATGCCGCTGGCCAGGGCGAGGGGGAAGGCCACCCAGGCCAGGGCGAAGCAGTAACCGAAGCTGCCCCCTGATGGGCGCTCCGCCAGGATCTCCTCGGCGTGAATGGCGTAGATCAGCGCCCCGGTAAACACCGCCACGCCTGTGGGGAGATGGCAACCACGCGTCACGCAGGACCCGCACAAGAAGACTGCATTTCCCAACAACCCACGGGCCAAAGAAGCCGCGGGAGGGCGAGTGCGCAGCACCGCTGCCTGCTGCGAGTTGTGGTTCGCTCCGCCAGCGCCATGCCTCGGGGCCACTGCAGACTGGCCTTGGGCAATTTAGTTAATTTTTTCGGGCCCCCCTTACTCATCCATTAAATGGGACGAAAATACCTACTCATCCATCCATCCATTCAAGGAATACTTTTGAGCACCTTTCTACAAGCCAAGCGCACAGATAGTGAATTAATAGAACGAGAGGGAACCTAGAAAGATAATGTTCCCCCAAACTGATGACTATGATTAACTTAGTCCTTTGCACCTGAAGTCAAAAAACTGAAAAGTACATAAAACTCCCTGAAGTGTCTGATACATAGTAGGTCCACAAGAAACAGCAGCTGGCTGACATTATAAAACCACTACTATTATGATTCGGAGTTCTCTCCTGGCGTATTAATTAGCTACCTATCCCTGCTGGCACCCCTTCATCCCTGGGATCTAAATTATTTGTCCACACCCCCTTCCCCAGCCCTGGCTCCCTGAAGCCCTAAGTGCCAGTTCCCCCATAACTCAGAGCTGCGCACCACAAACCACCAAGTCACTGAAAACTACAACTCCCCTAAGTCCCTGGGGCAGAGAGGTAGCCAAGGGAGGAAGCTCAGGTGGTCTTTGGGTTGTTGAGAATTGTTTTCATTCATCAGATGTCCATTCTCAGCTCCCCCCCCCCCACATCCTCACAGGCCTCCTCCCTTCCCTTGAATTCCCAGGGAACAGTGCTCACTGGTGCAAAGCTGGCAGAGGCCAGTGGCATAGAAGAGCCCTCCTCGCCGCATGGTGTAGAGCTGGAACATGAACAGGATGAAGGACAGACAGCAGAGGATGAGGGAAAGCACCATGAGGACCTGTACCGCCTTCAGCCAGCCTGCAATAGGAGACAGAGGTGGAAGTCACAGCAGGTCCAGAGTTCCAGCTCCACCTGCTTGCTCGTCATTGCCCCCACCAACCCTTCTTCCATTTAGAGACATACAACCTTACATACTTAGTAGTATCACTTATATCGACCTCAATTCCTGTAACTTTCCTAAATTCCCTTATCAGTTCTAGAAGCTGTTTGCAGATTCTTTAGGATTTTCTATATAAAGATGTTCACTGGGAATCAAGACATTTTTACTTCTTCCTTTCCCATCTTTATGCCTTTTATTTCTTTTTCTTGCCTTGTTGCTTTGGCTACCTCCAGTACAATGTTGTATAGAAGGAGAGCAAAAATTCTTACTTGCTCTTAGGCAAAAAGCATTTAATCTTTCACCTTGACTTCAAAATTTCTATGCATGCAGCTCCGCCCCTTTAGAACTCAGATGCACCTGGCCCCACTTCTTTAGAACCTTAGAAGGATTCAGCCTCACCTCTTTAGAAACGTAATGTGGTCCGCCCCACTGGAACTTGGAAAGATTGGTCCCAGCCACCCCTTCAGAACACCTGTCTCCTTAGAACTTTGGAAACAAAATCATGTCTCCTCAGAATCTTGGGAGTTTTTCCCCCTTTCTTTAAACCTAGAGCATGTGGCCTCCATTCCTTCTGAATCATAGGGAGTGGGGCTTTTAGCCCATCCTCTTTAGAATATGAGCATACTTCCCCCTACCATCCAGATAGATGGGTCATCATACATCAGCTTCTGTCACTCAGCATGGGGACCCAGACCCGCCCACTCAAACCTTGGGGGGTTCCCAATCCTTGGTCCCGGGAGGATACTTGGGGTTACCCCTCCCTTTTGCAGACCAGTTTCCAATGCCCCTCACCCCTCACCATTCTCGCTGACATTACTGCAGGCCCACGTTTTGTTGTCACTGTTCCATGTGCAGTCGTACCAGAGATTCAGGGACTCCTTCCCGGGGAGGGCCCACCAGGACTGGGATGGACAGAGGAACAAGGACAAAGTTAGGGAAACTAGGAAGGGTTAGGAAAAGGGCAAGGTGCCATGGGAAAGCATGGATTTAGTAGGAAAGTGGGGCCGGGGGGGAGGCACGTAGGGTGGAGGCAGAGCTCAGAAGGGTGAGTGCTAGGGAAAGGGGGCGGGGCCGGAGTGACTAGCGGAGGGGTGTGGCAGGAGTCTGCAGGAGAGCGGGAGGCTCCTACTCCAAGTAAGCTTACCTTGTCCAGAGTGGCCACGAAAAGCAGGATGAGAATGAGGATGTGAAGGGCAGAGACCACCAGCAGGAGGAGTGACATGGCTGCGCTGGAAGCCTGGATGGGGACGTCAGGAGACCATCACGTCAAGAGGTTGGCACAGGGGCGGGGGACATGTCTGAATTCTGGTGGAGAAGGGGGCTGAGTCCAGACTCCCAGGTCTAAAGGAAAAGGGGGCTAGGAGCCCCGGACTCCCGGTCTGAGAGAGGAGGAGGCTGGGCTCCAGACTCCTGGGTCTGAAGGAGGAGGGGGCTGGGGGCCCGGGGCCCGGACTCCTGAATTCCCCAGGGCCTGCAGGGGGCCAGGGATGGACTCTCGGGTCGGGAATGAGTAAGACTAGCAATGTGGCCCCCATCTCCTCAGAGCCCTGTCCCTGGGCACCTATGGGCCAGGTTCTGAAAATTCATATTGCCGCCTGTTCAGATTCATCAGAATCTGGAGTCTGCCCCCAGAATCAGGCATACTTGAGTCACCCCACTCCTCTCCTGGGGTGGGGGGAGGAAGGGGGACCCGGTGAGTCATCTGGTCGGTGACTCATCTCGCCCCCTTGCCTCCCAAACACCAGGGAAACCCCAGCCCCTGGCTATGCCCATGAGGTCCACACCCCACCCTGCTGCCAGACTAGTGTCTACTAGACACCTTGTAGGGAAAGTGGACAAGATCCGTGTTGGGAGTGGGGAGAGGCCCAAGAAGGAGGAGACAGCTTCCCATGACCCTTCAAGTGTCCAGAAAGGGCGGGAGAGGGGTGGGGGGAGGTGGCTGAAGGGTCCCCAGACTCTGCTTGTTCTCACGAGAAGCCCTGACCTCAGGGTCCTCGGGGGGAGTGGACAGCCACAGGAAAAAAACAGCAGGAAGTTTTCGGGTGGGGAGGCTCTGTTGGGAACCCTCAAACTTTGCCGGGCTCCACCCCTTCCCAAGTCTCCACCCCAAGTGCAAAGAGATCACTTCTTAAATTACAAGGATTTCCAAGCTTCTCCCAAGCTGGGGGGTCTCCTTTCCAAACTGCTGCACACCCAGGTAAAGAAAGAAATCCCAGTCTGAATAACGGATTGGAAACTTACCGAGCGCGGCGGAAAAAGTCAGAGTTGAGTCTCGTCCCTCGCTTGGGCCTCCGTGCCCCGCCCTTCTCCTCCCTCCTTCCACCCTGTCGAGGCCCCCGCCTCTCACCGCCTTCCTCCCTCCCTCCCTCCCTCTCCCCTCTTGCTCTCTCCCTCCTTCTCCCCTCCAATCCCGGAACTCTCTCTCTCTCTCCCCGTCTCCCTCTCTCCCTCTCTCTCTCCTTCTGCCTCTTGTCTCTCTCGGTCCTGTCCTCACTGTCTGTGCCTCCTTCCTCCTCTCTCTCCTCACTCTCCTGGTTTCTCTTTCTCTGCTCCTCTCAATATATACTGACCCTTTTATACCCACCCTCACCACACCCAGCTGCGGTCTGCAGCCAGAGGGAGGGCCCAGGCACTTGGATTCCTTATTCTCTGGGCCCCCACCCACTGCCCCCAGACAGGCATCTTCTGGGGCTCCCTCCTGCGGTTGAGATGATGCGTCCTTGGCAGGAAGGGAACAGAGCTGGGGCCCTCAGGTGGGGCAAGCATCAGGGGTGGGAGGATTTGATTCTCAGGCCTCTGCTCTGGGACTGGTCCTGAGACTGATGTCTGCTTTCCTTGATGGGGCTTAGGAATGAATCCTCAGAGGGATGGGAGACTGAGGTATGAGGCCAGATTCCTGCAGCGTGGAGTGAGGTGAGGGCTGGTGGCGTTGGCGCCATGGTGGGGGTCAGGGGATGGGAAATGAGGAAGTGTGGAACTCCAGAAGGGGGCAGGAGGTGGAAGTTAAGAACCCAGGGCTACTGTTTCCTGCCCGGGGGACCTTGACCAATTATTTCAACTCTCTGAGCCTCAGTTTCCTAATCTATGAGGTGGGTACAATACTACTCATAATACTGACAATATACTAATACTGATAATAATTCTGATACTTATTCTAAACGAATAAGGTAATACCAGTACACTAACACACCTAACATGTTTATTCCTTTCCTCATCAAACATTCATTGGACATCTATTATGAACCAGGAGTGAATAATGAAGAAAACAGATGGGAGCCCTGCTGCTCTTATGGAGTTTCCCTTCTAGTTGAGGGAGAGGGATGATAAAGACAAAACATCAGTGAAGAAGATAGATTTCAGATAGTGATAAAGGCTTTGAAGGAAATAAAATAGAGTGACACTGCTAATGATGGGAGGCTACTTTAAAAGGGTGATCTGGCCAGGCCTCTCTGAGGAGGTGACATCTGAGCTGAGACTTGCAGACGGGAGTCATCTGAATGCGGGGCAGGGAGAGGACGTGCACAGGCCTTTGAGAACAAGTTCAGGTTGTTTGAGAAGAAGACAGAAGGGCCAGTGTGGCCAGAACATAGGGAACGAGAGAGAGTGGTAGGAAGGGAAATCAAAGAGGGCCCTTGAAGCTTAGAGGAGGAGTTTGGATTTTATTCTAAGTGTAGTTGGAAACCAGTGGAGGGTTTTAAACAGAAGTGCAGTACCAGGGACTTAATGTCAACTATTATTGTTATCATTGTTAATTCTTGGGTTACTGAATTACAGTGGGGGGTGATCACCACTAAGTACCTGGGTCTCTTGGCAGGGTTGGGTGCTTGGTGAAAAATGAGGGACAGGGAACCAGATATCTGGAATATGGAATTAAGAGCTGGAGAACTGAAATCCTGGGTCCCTACAAGGGAAGGGAACTAAACGATGGGATGTCTGGGTATCTGATTGGGCCAGAGCTAGAGGGAGGGAGAATGGCTGGTCATCTGGGCTCCCTGAGGGGGTGAGGGAAGGGCAGTTCAGTGACTGGGTGGGTACTCGGGAGACCTGGAAGCTGGGTATCACTATAGCACAGACTCTATAGAGATATGCTGGCTGGATTCAAATTGAAACTGCTTTACTCATTAGCTGTGATTTGGGGCAAGTTACTAATCTCTTTATGCCACAGTTTCTTTATCTGTAAAATCGAAATAATAATAGTAAATACATCATGGAGCAGTTCTTGGAGGAGTGCCCGGCACCAAGTAAGCACTGTTGTATGTGCTTGTCATACCAGACACTGGGGCCCTGAGTGGATTCAGTACTGGGAGACCCAAGATCAAGGTCTCTAGGATTTCGGGAAGGGGCAAAGTCTTGGGTCCATTGGGTCCCAAGACTACAAAGTTGGGGGTACAAAATGAAGGTCCCTGGGGGTGGGGAATAAAGTAGTTCCAGTTTACATCTTTGAGAAGGACAAGAGACTGGAGGTCTGAAATCAGTTCCCCAGGTAAGTTAGAAAGCCTGGGTCACTGGGGGAAAAATGAGGGACTGAGATCGTATGCTCTTCAAGGAGGCAAGGGGACTGGACCTGGGTCCTGGGAGGAGTCTGGGGACTAGGGTCTAGGGAGATGGAATTTGAGGGGGGGAGGTGGGGAACAGGAGGCTAGGACTCTGAATCAAGCTCCCAGAGCGGAATCAGCGCCAGAGTTGGGCACCCCGGGGGTGTTCGGGCAGGGGGTCCCCCTTGCTAGGGCCCTATAGAAGGGGGAGAATCAGGGGGCCCGAGGGCGGTGGGGGGGATCTCCCCCTCCTGGGCCTCCAAAGCTACGAGCTGAGCGCCCGCGGGCCGCTTCCTCCCACAGGAAACCGCAGGCATCGGGCACACCCAGCCTGCAGGGAGCGGTGCCTACTGCCAGCCCGCTCTGTAGAGGCCCACGGGGGAAGCCGCCTGTTGTCAAGGGGGCAACAGCCTGCCGTCAACAGGGCGTGCCCTGCGGGGCTAGGGGCGCCGCCATGGGGGCGTGGCCGGAAAGCAGGGATGGCACGGAGCGCCCTAGGCCCCGCCCACTCCCGCCTCTCAGTGCGCGGACCTCTAAAGCGGCTGTGGGTTTTTGGCTGCCTCTCCGGAGGCCGTTGGCCGCGCATGCGTAGTCAGCCGCTTCGAGGACCTGAGGCGGCGGTGAGCGCTCCTCCCCCCTCACAATTTCCGGCATCGGCACCGCGTGCCTGCTGATGAATCCTCAAAATAACGTGGTCTTAATCAGCTTAAGACACGCATCTCTCACGCCCCGTCCCGAAGGACCTTGGCCCAGTTCCAAAGCCTTTCAGACGTTTCCCTCCCAGCCCTGCCTCCACAGGCTCTTTTAGCTACTGCCTCTCCCTCCTGGAAACACAGCCCAGCCCTCACAACCCTGTGCTCCCCAAATAGACCATCTCGACCATCCTTCCCCAGGATCTCTGAGCCTGAGTGCCTCCGGGTTAGTCGTCCCTCACCCCCTCCACAAGTCTTGGGAATCCGCTCTCTTCCGGCGCCCTCCCACCAGACCCCTCCCGTGTTCTTCCAGCCACGCCCCTTTCAGTCCTCGAAGCCCCACCCCTCACAATGCCCTCAGCCCCGCCCTCTACAGGTATCCTTCCCCCTCTCCTCTCAAGGCTCCGAAGCCCCGGCCTGGACGGGTTTCTGACTCCCTACTGAGGTTCGCCAGCCCCAACCCTCTCCGGCCCCGGCAGCTCTGCCCTCCCCTGAAGCCCCGCCCCTCAGGCCCACCCAGTCCCTCTCCTCAGAGGCCCTTTCAGTCCCGCCCTTCATAGTCCTCTACAGCTCCGCCCCTCGCAAGGGCTACAGTCCCGCCCTCACAGGCCCTCCCAACCCTGCCCCTCACAAGGCCTACAGTCCCGCCCCCACAGGTCCCGCCCCTGGCAGGACCCCGAACCCACGCCCATCGCAGCCCTCTAGCCCCGCCCCTCGCAGGGCTCCCCTAACTCATCTGCTCATAGCACCCGAGCTCCCCGCAGGTCTCCTCGTGGCCTCCTCGGCCTCTCCTCCCCAGTCTCCCCTCCCACGGCTTTCTTCGGTGGCCTTGGTCCCTCCCCGGCTGCTGTCCTCAGGCCTCATTGGCCCCTCATCTCCCCAGTAACCAGACCACAACAGTGAGCTTGGAGCATCCAGGACATGTCAGGCACTCCAGCCCAGCAGGTAGGGACCAGGCCTCACTCCCCTCAGCCGATGGGTTGGGGGGATTTCCCCTCCTCTGTGCCACCTCCCCAAACAGCCCCGCCTCGGAGATACCGAGAGCCTAGAAGACCCCCCGCCAGAGTCAGAGCCGCGACGCAAGACAGAGAATGTGAGAGGTGGGAGGTCGGGAGAGGCATGGGAAGAGACCCTAGAGGTGTCCCACTCCAACCCACTGGAGAAATTGAGACTCAAAGAAAGGCCAGAACTAGTTCTGGGGTCACTCTCTTCCAATTCCTAGTCCCTCGCTGTTCATCGCCCGCCCTCCTCCTATAGCCCTCTCCTGCTCGCCGTCTGAAGGGGCCCTGTGCCACCCCTACAGGAGCCCCACGCTCTTTGGCCAAGATGCCTTTAGGACTCTCTGCTGGGAGCGCTCGTTCCGAGGATGGAAGCGAGGCCTTCCTGGAGGGAACGGGTAATTCATACATTCTTTATTTCATTCATTCTTTTCCCGGTTTTCCCACGTTTCAGGTCCTGTGCAGCAAGGCACTGGGGACAGGGAGGGACTTCAGGAGCGCCCTCTAGTGGGGAAACGCACAGGCTCCAGAATGGAGGTGGAGCCGGGCAGATGGGCGGGCCAAGCCTGGGGAGTGGAACGGCCGGAAAGACTTACTGCAGAAGTTTGAGCGGGGCCCAGAACTTCTCTCAGGAATTACCAACAGGAGAAGGAAGGGAAGAGTGTTTCCGCAGAGAGAACAGCATATGACTAGACCAAGCTTTCTCAGTCTCCACATTGTTGACCCTTGGGGTCAGATGTCAGATCATTCCTTGCTATCCGGGGGACTGTCCTGTGTGTTGGAGGATGCTCAGTGCATCCCTGGCCTCTACCCACTTCATGTCAGTAGCACCCCCCAACCTGCCCCCGCACCATACAATCAAAAGTGTCTTTAGACATGGCCATATGTCTTTAAGGGGGCACAATTGCTCCTGGATGAGAACCACTGGGCCGTGAGAGTTGGGGAGCTAGTGGAAGAGACCAGAGAGGTGGGTAGGGTTGGGTTTGTGGGCCCTTGAACACCAGGGTGAAGAGCTGGGACTTCGTCCTGGAGATGCTGGTGCGCCAGGGAGGTCTGTGACAGCTCTAGGTATAGAAAGACCCTCTGGAGCTGTGAGGGGAGGCCAGGAGGTTAGGGAGGAGGCTGGGGTGATGGGGTGACGGTCCAGAAAGGGGAGGATGAGGCCTGAGCCAGGGGGATGGGCTGAGAGCGAGGAGGCGGGAGGTGGGGCTGAGGAAGGCTGGGCAGTGGGCTGAAGGGGAGGGAGGGAACAGCAATGGTGCCCTGGGGGTCTTGGCACCTGTCCTCAGCTTTCCCAAGTTCCAGGTCCTGTGCTTCTGGTCCCTGAGGACTGTGAGTCCTCCCAGGAGTGCCCTCTAGTGGGGAAACATGTGTGCCCAAGCCCCGGGTAGGAGTGGGTTTAGGGGAAAAATGCGAAGGTCGGCTTGGGGTACAGGAAGTGTGAAGGGATGAGGAAGCTTGAGGGATACAGGAACTGAGGTGCAGCCCTAGAGCGGTGTTGGGAACTGGGTCTGCAGTTCAGGTGAAGTTTGTGAGACCCTCAGGGAGCCAGAATTCCTAGGTGCTGGGGAGGGAGGGGCTGGAACCTGGATTCCTATGAGTCCCTCCCTGGCCTGGTCCCACCTCAGTGGATTGGGAGCTGAGCAGACTGCAGCGGCAATGCAAAGTGATGGAGGGTGAAAGGCGAGCCTACAGCAAGGAGGTCCATCAGCACATCAACAAGCAACTGTGAGCCAAGCACCTGGGGCCCTGGAGCTGGGGCGGGGCTGTTGAGGAGGTGGGTGCTGGCCTCCTCCTGGGGCTGACGGGGGAGGGAAGGCCCAGTGTGTCTGGACTTTAGTGAGGCCGAGCTCTGCCCCTTTCTGGCTTCCCCTCCACTTCCCTGCCTGGGCAGTGAGGAGATCCAGCGCCTGGAAGGGGTGCGGGACAAGCTGCAGGTCCAGATCAGCATTGCCCAGAGCCAGGTCACGCGGCAGCAGGACAGCAAGAGGCTGGAAAACATGGGTCACCTGCTCAAGTGCCGGGTCCAGGCGCAGGCTGAGGTCAAGGAGCTGCAGGAGCAGACCAGAGCCCTGGACAGGCAGGTGGGTTCTGAGACCAGACTTGGTGGATCTTACTTAGGAGCATGTGTCATAACCTCTTTGAGCCTTACCTTCCTCATCTGAAAAATGGGGTTATTGAAAGCATCTCCCTGGGGGAGTTGTGTTCAGGCTCCAGTAGGAATATGAGTATTTAGTGCTTAGCACAGCCCCACACCTTCAAAAAAGGTGGTTAAGGGGGAAAGATTCACCTTCTGGAGCCAGTGAAACCTGCATTAGAATCCTGGTCCTGGCACATCAGCGCTGTGTGACCATGGGCAAGTCTTCACCTCTCTGGGCTGTAGTTTCTTCATCTGCAAAAAGAGGATGTGGGTAACTCAGCAGAGTCTAGACAGATTTTTTTTTTTTTTCCTGGCTGTGCCGTGTGGCATGCGGGACCTTAGTTCCCTGACCAGAGATCAAACCCGTGCCCCCTGCAGTGGAAGCACGGAGTCCTAACCACTGGACCACCAGGGAATTCCCTAGACAGATTTTTTCCTATTTGCTTCAAGACCTTGTTATTTGGCCCTGCAAACAATGTGACTTTTCTAGGCCAGTGCTCTTTTCAGTTTTTAGGACCACAACTCATTGTGACACAGTTCATAAACACACAGATACAGTCCTTTTTGCCACTTCAAGTGACATATTCACAAGGTCCAGGGATTTAGATGTGGACATCTGGGCAGGAGGGTGAGGGGCATTTTTCTGTCTACTACATGTTCTATAGTTTTATTACATTTGACTTTCAATCAGTCCGTTTGTTCAGCTCTCAATATCACCCTGAGCTGCCTTTTGGAAGCTGAATTCTGTCTGATTTACACACCTCAAAATTTTGGCTGTTTCATGGTAGTACATGTGTGTAGTGTGTTGGCTGCCGGAGCTGGCTTTCCTTAGTCTTTCATGGGAACTCACCAGAGACAGGTCCAACAGGGATGATCTTATTATCTTGACTCCATGGATTCCTTTGCCCTAAGAAACTTGATTATGGAGAACTGTAGGTCAGGTGGGTCCTCTGAATATAGCTCTGTAAAGTTCCTCATGAGCTCAAGAAAGGATGTAGTTGTCTGGTGATAGTCATTCATTCAACAAATATTTGTTGAGTGCCTACTTAGTGCCAGGTACTGTTCTAGGTGTTGAAGACACAGTAGTGAACAAAACAGACAGGAGTCTGCTCTCATGTGGTTTACATTCTACTGGGGAGATAGACAATAAGCCAAATAAAAGCCCAAGAAAGGGACTTCCCTGGTGGTGCAGTGGTTGAGAGTCTGCCTGCCGATGCAGGGGACACGGGTTCGTGTCCCGGTCCGGGAGGATCCCGTATGCCGCGGAGCGGCTGGGCCCGTGAGCCATGGCCGCTAAGCCTGCGCGTCCGGAGCCTGTGCTCTGCAACGGGAGAGGCCACAACAGTGAGAGGCCTGTGTACCGCAAAAAAAAAAAAAAAGGAATCCTCCTGCCAATGCAGGGGACTTGGGTTCAAGCCCTGGTCTGGAAAGATCCCACATGCCACAGAGCAGCTAAGTCCGTGCGCCACGACTACTGAGCACGCATGCTGCAACTATTGAAGCCCACACACTAGAGCCCATGCTCTGCAGCAAGAGTGGCCACTGCAATCAGAAGCCCGCGCACCGCAACGAAGAGTAGCCCCCACTCACTACAACTGAAGAAACTCTGTGCGCAGCAACGAAGACCCAACACAGCCAGAAAAACCCCCCCAAAACCCCCAAAAAACTGAAGAAAGAATTTGTTCCAAAGAAATCACCCAGAATTTTGCACAGAGAGACAAAAAGATGAGAAACGTGGAAGGGTGGTCAAGACAATTGCAGATCTAGTGAGAAGGTTTAACAGTTGTCTAATAAAAGTTTCAGAAGAACAGAAAGAGAACGGGACAGAGGTAATGTGTGACAGGATAATATCTGAGAACTTTCCAGAAACAATGAAAGAGTGAATCCACAGATTCAAGGATGCCTTAGAGTCCAAAACAGGATGAACAAAAAAGCCACGCTTATGCAGGACATACGGAAATTTCCAAAATATACAAGCAGCCAGAAAACTTTTAAAAGGCATTACTTTCAAAGGAGCCACAGTTAGACTGACAACTGATTTCTCAAAAGAAACATTGGAAGACAGATTGTGTCATTGTAACTTCAACGTACTAAGAGACAAGGTATTTTAACAATGTATTTTAACAAGGTATTCTTAACAAGGTATTTTAACAATGTGGCTGGATACAAAATTAATATTTCCCTGTGTTAGCAATAGCTATTAGAAAATAGAAGAAGAAAAGACAAATTTATAATAGCCAAAAGAAGTACCTAGGAAGAAATCTAACAAAAGTGTGCAAGACCTCGATAGAGTAAATTGTAAAAGTTTATTGAGGGATATTGAAGAAGAATTTAATAAATGTAGAAATATACCATATTCATGGATTGGAAGAGTTAGTGTTGTAAAATGTCAGATCTCCAAATTGATTTATAGAATCAATGTAATCTCTACAAAACACTAAAAGTTTTTATTTTATTTATTTATTTATTTATTTATTTCTTGAGGTACACGGGTCTCTCACTGTTGTGGCCTCTCCCGTTGCAGAGCACAGGCTCCGGACGCGCAGGCTCAGCGGCCATGGCTCACGGGCCCAGCCGCTCCGCGGCATGTGGGATCTTCCCGCACCGGGGCACGAACCCGAGTCCCCTGCATCGGCAGGCGGACTCTCAACCACTAGCGCCACCAGGGAAGCCCTAAAAGTTTTTATTTTTAATGGATGGAATTGATAAAGAGATTCTAAGGTTTATAGAGAAGTGCAATGAACAAGATGACTAAAATTTACTTAAAAGAAGAACAATGTGGAAGGATTTGCTCTATCAGTTATCAAGATTTATTAAAAAGGTCTTATGGGACTTTCCTGGCGGTTCAGTGGTTAAGACTCCATGCTCCCAATGCAGGGGGCACGGGTTCGATCCCTGGTTGGGGAACTAAGATCCCACATGCAGCATGATGCGACATAAATAAATAAATCTCTTATAATTGATGCAGGGCTAATCAAGTGGGATAATGGGACAGAATAGAGAGACTGGGATGAGACCTGTGCATATGTGGACACTTGATATTTGACTTCAAGAAATGGGAAAAGGAGGATTCTAATAATGGTGCTGTGAAATTTGGATGTCCATACTGTAAGATGAAACCAGACACTTACCTCTCACTGTCCCCAAAACTAATTCCAGATGGATCAAAAGTCTAAATGTGTGAAAGTGCAGAACATGTCTTAAGTTACAGAAATCTCTACTTTTAAAGGAAAAGATTGATACATTCCATGACTTTAAAATTAGTAACTCCTGTTCACCAAAAGAACCATAGAGTGTGCAAACTAAGTCACAGTACTGAAGGTTATTTGTAAGACATAGCTGACAAAGAACCTAGCGTCAAGGACATATAAGGATCTCTTACAAATCATTAAAGAGTCAGCTCAATTTAAAAACAGTCAAAGGAAGGCTTCCCAGGTGGCACAGTGGTTAAGAATCCTCCTACCAATGCGGGGGACGCGGGTTTGAGCCCTGGTCCAGGAAGATCCCACATGCTGCAGAGCAACTAAGCCCGCGAGCCACAACTACTGAAGCCCGCGTGCCACAGCTACTGAAGCCCACCCACCTAGAGCCTGTGCTCTTCAACGAAGAGTCACCCCCGCTCACCGCAACTAGAGAAAGTACAGCAACAAAGACCCAACGCAGCCAAAAATAAACTAATTAATTTAAAAAATAAAAAATTTGGGCTTCCCTGGTGGCGCAGTGGTTGAGAGTCCGCCTGCCGATGCAGGAGACACGGGTTCGTGCCCCGGCCCGGGAAAATCCCACGTGCCGTGGAGCGGCTGGGCTCGTGAGCCATGGCCGCTGAGCCTGTGCGTCCGGAGCCTGTGCTCCGCAATGGGAGAGGCCACAACAGTGAGAGGCCCGCAAAAAAAACCAAACAAACAAAAAATAAATAAATAAAATAAAAAATAAAAAATTTAAAAATTAAAGAAATAAAAACAGTCGAAGGACTTGAGTGGGCACATCACCAAGTAAGAAATTCAGATGTCCGATGAACGGAAGAATTATTACTCATCAGTATTCAGAGAAAGGCAAATGAAAGCCATAAGGAGGTGTCATTACACACTCACCAGATTTTCAAAAATTAGTGTCCCAAAATACCAAGTGCTGGGGAGAGAAGGAACCGTGAGAACTCTTATGAAGTGTTGGTTGCTAAGACCCCCACCAGTTGGTGGGAGTCTAAATTGTCATGAGTATCCTGAAAAGTTTATTTCCCCCATTATCTATTAACTTTGAAGAGAGACATACCCTGCGATCTGGGGTTGCATCTACTCCACATGGACGGTCACCAGAAGCAGTCTTGGGCTCTACCTGACCATCACACTCACAGGATCCAATAGGCTGTCACTTGGCACCAGGTTCACTTAACTCTGTAGAAGGAAAGAGGACAAGAAACAACAGCATCTTTGCACAACAGCATCCAGTACACCTTCCTTGAGCGTCCAGGGGCTGCTTCTCAGCATGTTCAGTTGGATGATACTGTACGGGTGGGTGTTGCTCGCCCTGGCATAGGGAAGTTTTATATACAACATGAGCCACCTCTTGTAACAGATCATCAGGGCAGCTTCTAAGACCCCACAAGGAACGTATTCCATTGTAAGAAACACCCCACAGAGAAACCAGTTTTCTATTCAGTCCTGGTCATGTAGGCCTTTGGGGTCTATGAGTCCACTCATAATCCTTCCAATCTGATATCGTTCACCAATCAGGGGCCATTTTTTGTAATCAGCATTGTTGCCTGGGAACACAGCTGGCATTCCGTATTTACATTAGCCCAGTATGTTTCCATGGAAACGGTGTTAGAAGGAAGTAAACCAAAGTCATTTCCCAGTAGAAAATGGTTTAGAGTTGTCAGTAACCCATCCTCCCACCCAACAATTCCACTTCTGAGTCTATACCCTGGAACCAGGACTCATGAAAACA